AAATATTAAAATATTATCATTACTATATAGTGGAACAACTAAACACAATAGATGGTTTAGAACTTTTAATATTTATTGCACAGACCACAACTGGCCAACAAATAAGTCTAAAAAATAAATGCTTCTTAAGAAATGTACCAAAAATAAATAAATAGAAATAAAAAATAAATTATATTTTAATAAAGTAAGTAGCCTACTTGTATTTTCTTCCTCACAAAAGTAAACCGTTTAACAAAAAATGCTCTCAATATAATACTGAACAATGTACCAACATAAATAATAATAGTAAAATATATTTTGGGGTTTTATTTTTATAACCTACAGAGAACATCATCATCAGAGGTTTTGGAGGTTTATTTAATAACCATGTAAACTAATTAAAACGTTGCAGATGATACCAATGAGATTATCTTAATGCTGAAATGTGTAATTTATTCATAAACAAACTATATTATGCTCGGACACACTCGGTCTCTCTCGGACACTGTTGAGCGCACTCTCGGACACACTTAAATCTCTCTCACGCACTGTCGAAGCACGCTCGCGTCGTTCGCTTCGCTTTTGTCTAGTCCGGCACCTCAAAAACACACACACACCATAGAAAAAACTTTGCAGGTCCTATGGTGGAGAGAGAGCCCGATCGGATGAAAACCGCTCCAGTGAGCTCAATTACAGTAACGCCACATTTTATTGTCAGTAACGGTAATGGCGTTGTAACGGAGGAAACAGTAATTAGTTTGATTACTCCTTACTGAAAAAAGTAACTCTGTTTATTTATAACGAAGTTATTCCCATCACTGGTGAGCACACCGACGCATAAGTTTTGAGCCGGCGTTCTGACATATAACCTGGAAGCGCGGCACTGTGTTTACTACGAGAACAGCATCGGAGAAGTGAAGGGAAGAGGAGAAATTGTTGAAAAAAATTATTTTTGTTTTTTTGCGCACTAAAATTTTCTTGTTGCTTCACATTAAGGTTGAACCACTGTAGTAACATGGACTATTTTAACGATGACTTTATTACCTTTCTGGGCCTTGAAACTGCTAATTACACTGGGGTCAGAAAGCTCTCGGATTTCATCAAAAATATCTTTGTTTGTGTTCCAAAGATGAACGGGTTTTACGGGTTTGGAACGACATGAGGGTGAGTAATGAATGACAGAATTTTCATTTTTGGGTGAACTAACCCTTTAACACACACTGCATATAAAAATTCAGTGTTGTCATATTTACTGTATACCTCAACTGTATGGAGGTAATTTATTTTATTTGTTCTTATTTTATTACTGACTGTTTACTTGTCTATTTTTGCAAATTCAATTCAGTTTGAAATCAAGCTTCCTTGTGCTGTGTGTGAGCTATATTGCAACAGAGTTACCCTATTGTGAAGACAAATACACAGAGTGAGCAAATGTTTAAGTTAGATTATTGTAATGGTTATTGATCAATGTTTAAATATGTAAACAAAAGCCTAAATTAAAATCCGTTCATCGTATAAAGTGGACGTGTCTCTTCAGAAGACTAGGATTAAACTTTTCCATTCAATTAGATTACTGTTACAATGAGTTTTGAAGCTTGAAAATAATGATTGCCAAAAATGTAGATATTCAAATATTTAGTATGTGGTGGTTTTCCCGATGGTATTGAAAATTATACTGAATATGGACATTTTTCAAGGTGTCATATTGAAGTTAGAAATTCCAGTATCATGACCAATAATTAATGTCCTTCGTCAATAAGGTAAAAATATGTTGAAAATAGCTATTTTCTACATAGATCTATGATTTGATTGAATATTTATTGGTAATACATTAACTATCGCCGGCTAAAAAGTAACTATACTAATACTCCGAGCAGTTTTTGAGAAGAGTAATTTGTACTTTTACTTAAGTACTTTTTTGACACCAGTACTTTTACTTGTAATTGAGTATTATTTCAGCAATGTAACAGTACTTGTACTTGAGTACACATTTTCAGTACTCTTTCCACCACTGCAGTGGAGTTGTGTGTTAACCACTGATACCACTTTGTAATAGTAGAAAAAGAATAAAACATCTTGTCCTCAGCTCTGGGGCACATTGCTGTGCTGAATAAGATCATTGTGAACAAAATGATGTTGTTAAACAAGGATCAGCGACCCATAGAAAGGGAGGAAAAAGGGAGGAGGTACAGTATAAGGTTACTCTACAGCCTTTGGAAGAACAACAGCTCACCTAATGCAACACAACAGCACTTAAAGTCAGCATGAAACAGAAGTTGTGATGGTGTTTTCTTCCCTATTGTGACATATATTCGAGATAAAGTGTATAGGTGGGACTTGATTTTGACCATTAGGAATTGACAGGATGGTTGTTGTTTGCTATTGGTCGATCTCATGTGAGTGACAGGTTGAGTGCCCCGCCCTCAAGCCAGTGAACACATCAACATTTTTTTTTTTTTAAATAATGAGGTGCTTGGATAAATCATTTAAATCATTAAAAAAAAAAAAGTTTGCTTGCAGACTTACACAATATGCATTATAAACTGAAAACTGCACAGAGAGAGAGGGTGATGAGTAAGTGTTGACATCTCTCATGTCCTCAACTCACCCTGCTATCAGTCCAAGAGCTCTGTTTGTGTTTGTGTGTGTGTGTGTGTGTGTGTGTGTGCGTGTGGAGGCTCAGTGACTCAGACTCAAGCAACTGCCTTAATGTACTTAATCTAACAGAGACGTCACAGACCACAGCAGGTCATGTGTTTGTCCTTATTTTTCAAGAAAACAACTCAAAACATTATATTGGTTAACTGGTCTTCATAAGTATTTTAAAGAAGCCACATTATGCACTTTCACAAGCGTCTTGATTCTGTTTTGGGGGTCTACAAATATGGGTTTTCATGTTTGAATGTTTAAAAAATACATTATTTTTCTCATATTTTCCACTGTTGCAGCACCTCTCTTCCCAGTCAGTAACGCTCTGGGTGCCTTTTCCAAAAGCATTGTTAGACAACCATGGTCGCAAGTTCTGTCGTTATCAGCATAGTTCAACGAGTTGGTATTTCCAAAAACCAACAAACATTCGCAAACAGCATCGCAAAGTTGTGTGGTAAGAAGCTAAGTTTCTTGTTTGTATGACATGTGGACTTAATAAATCCTTATCTTGAGCAAAATAAGCAAGCTGACATTCAGTACAATCTATATCTTTGATTTAGAGAATTAACCCTCAGATGCCATGTACATAATTTATAGCAAAAAATCTGGAATTCTACAAAAATCCTGTCTCTATGAAGCCCCTCCTTTCTAAAAAGCGCAGTGTACTCTGATTGGTCGCCTGGACCAGTGTGTTGTGATTGGTCAACCGCTTCGAGCACGTTTCGGAAAAGCAACCCCCCTTGCCATAAGCACTACTAACACAACTCAAGCAGGCCTCGGCCCTTTATTTTGCGTTTGCCTTGGGCGGGAATTATTTAAATTAAGAATATTGTGACGTTTATGGTCCCGGAAGAAAACTCAAGACTACAATCAAGTCGTTTCGGGGAGTCAGAAACAGTGCGCACTGATATAGAGAATAACTCCCTTCTTTAACTGATCCTTTTCATGCTCAAACAGCAACATTACACACTAAAGAAAGTTGAAAATGTAAAAAAGCAGGTCCTCTTTAAGAGTAAATGGACAAAAAATAGTGCTATTTTATGCATCATATCTCTTTTGCAGTTCTGGGCATATTTTAGAGTTTATCTGCATATTCTGATTTGAATGTGACTTTAATTATTGATGTTCTGTTGAACTGAAATTACTACTAAGACTAATATCAGTCAGAGTAATTGCTTACAAAAAAACCCCTCCTTTTGGAATAAACTAAAACTCTCTGGATTTGTAAATTATTAATGCAATAATGTGGTTGTATGATCAAATTGGTTGCCCATGCACACTCTATTAAGGGTGAAGGTTCTTTAAGGTAAGAAAGAGACTAATGGCTAAGTATGACAGGAACACTTGAGAAATGTGATTTCATTGCACGCTTTGTTACAGTGGTAACTCAATGAAGAGCTGCTTTACAACGGGTCTTTATGTTGTTTATCTCTGGCTGTCTGAGGACAACAGCTCTTTTTCCAGACAGCTCCTATGCAAGACTATTTGTATATCTGTCCTTTCTAGGACTTTACTAATTTTAATTACCATTAATTTTCTAATTACCAATTCAACCTTCTTCTGTAGGCCAAAGGCCCCTTGGTGGACAGAGAGACAGACCAGTCCTGTTACATTTTGTCATATCATTTATCAAATTGAATGCAGCATTTAATGCTTAAATGGCAAATAACAGCAGCATTGATGCAGAGAGCACAGCATGGTCGGTAAGGAGCTCTGCAGGATTACACATCAACTAAATCACTCCTCTTAAGTTCAAAGACACTGTCTCCATTCAGCATGGCTATTGTGTAGATTTTTTTGGTTAAAACCAAATTCTGACATAAAAAGGTGATGTTTCTGGTTGGTATCACTGCAGGTGAAATCTTTTAAAGCAGTTTAGGGACTGAAATCTTAGTTAAAGGAATATTCCAGGTTCAGCACAAGTTAAGTTTGATCAACAGGTAACACACACACACACACACACACACACACAAAAGGAATTTCAACTTTCTTAAAAAAAATGGTTAAACACTTTTTTGGTTACAGTACACGGCACGCACTGTGAAAAGTAATCAGTTGACTTAACTTAAAAACGTGAGGAAACCTGTTGCGTTAAAATGATTAAGTAATAAACTTCTTGCGTAATTGAAAAAATTAATTGTATGCCAAGTATGTCAACATGACTATAGAATAGCCTACCCTACTGTATGTTACAAATATTAGGCTACACATCAAAATAAAGAACCTCAACATCAGCAATTAGGCCAACTTATAAAGGGCATTTACAAGAAACAACACAAAATAAGTCATTATTACTGTAATGAAAACACTGCCACCATTTGAGCATTTGTATATTGCTGCCCTTAACATTGTGATAAGATCTTTTCAAAAGGAGATATTTTACACTCAGTTTGTTTGTGTGTAATCCAGCGCGCGCGCCTGTTGCGTTCGTTCTGTCTGACGTAGAGTTCAAACCAGCTGACCTCGCGAGCCGCGACCCGAGCTAAACCCTTCAGAGAAACGGAGATTTGAGCAGCAGTTTACAGATGAGTAACGTTACAGACAGACTCCTGCGCTCGCTAGCCTACAGGGAGGACTTTGCTTTTCTCCTGAGTCCTGACTTCTTCCCATTTTAAAGTAAACCATTAAGCGTTTTTACTGGAAGGTAAGCAGATATAATAAAGTAATTTTGACAGCTCGTGATTGGCCGTAAACGATGGTCCATAATACAGGCTATTACGTAGCCTACTTTGTAAAAAGCCGCGTAAAACATTTGAATCTTTAGTGAGCGCGTTTTTAAGAAAACTCTGCAATAGCGTACAATTTTGTGTTAAAATGACTAGCAATTTTAAATCTTACAAGCTCTGATTAGCCTTTGCAACATCGTGTTCTACTTTACATTTCTTTCAAGAGTTGTCAGATATATTCTTCAAAGTAACTTTGTTAAACATTGTTTGAGTCATGCTATCAAGATTTTCATGTCACTCATGTCAAATATAAGTTTTCTTATAGCCCCCTGTAGTTCCTTTTTTGAAAGTTTCCATTTTTATTTAGGCTATTTGAAAGTGAAATTTAAGCCACAACCTCCAAAAGCTGTTGTTAATTGGAATTTAAAATCTGAATAAATGAATAACCAGGTTATGTTAAAATGTCCATATTACAAACAATATACCTTTATTTAAAATTTGCAACATTGCTACAGTTATGTAATATGTGAGCCTACATAAACACCTACATTTTATTTCTGCTCTCAACCACTAGGGGGAGCTAAAGGTCTTCAGGTCAACAACAAAAAGAGTTTCATGAATGCCAACATTACAAGACCTGTGAGTGTCTTGAGATTTCACACATTCATTAAGCCCCAGACTCACAGCATGAGGGACCAAAGTGTCACGCGGGCAGAACAGAGACTGATGTACCCGAAAGAAGTAACTGATCCAGTCAGTCGGGAGGGTGCTGTATCCTTCACAGAAGAAACAGTGTCCAGCAGAGCAGAGACCGTCGGCATCATCACACTGCGTCGCAAACGGGAGTCTATCCCTGCTGTGAAAAAAGACGAAGGTTATTGGGACAAGCGCAAAAAGAACAACGAAGCTGCCAAGCGTTCGCGTGAGAAACGCCGCATCAGCGACATGGTGGTAGAGAACCAAGTTCTGGCTCTTCTTGAGGACAATGCACGCCTGAAAGCTGAGCTACTGGCACTTAAGTTCAGATTCGGTTTGATCAAAGATCACACAGATTCACCAGCACAGGTCTGCTCATATGGTTCATATAACCAAACATTTCCAGCAATACCCTGCTACTGCCCCAACACTAACCCACAACCTGCCCATGGACACCTGTTGTCGACCCCACAGCAAAACTATGGGTTCTTCATCCCTGGAGGATCAGGCATTGAGAGCCCAGAGCTCTCAGGTGATGCTGTAGGTGAACATATTGGACCCTATCGAGGTGACGAACAGCCAGGCCGTATCGCAGAAGTGGATGCCAATGCATTAGTGTCAGGATGGCAAGAGAACAACATGAAAGGTCTTCCTCATAAACTGCGTTTCAAGACGCCATGTAGACTTGAAGGTGCTGAGGTGGAAAATCTCTCCTCAGTTGTACAGTCTCAGTCTACATCTGGGTGTGAGCGGACAGAGGGTTTCTGGACACAGACACACACACACAGTGCCATCAGCTTGTTCAACAGCACATCAGAATAACTCTTCCATTCACAGATCTAGAAAGGCAGCGCTATTAGATTCCAGCCAAGCGCTTTGAATGAAGAAGTGGCCGGGCTCCAAAAAGCAGCAGTTGAACTGAGATGGATTCTGTGACACCTGACTTCTGACCAATCCAAAGAAAGAAGCTGCTTTTTCTGATTGTTACAGACAAATATAAGAAGCCAGCTGGATGTTCGCTGGAACAGCTGGCAATCGGAGACATTTTTCATTCTGGTGTAATTTTCATACGCCTGTCTGCACCAGTAATGTTCATAACGTGCTGGATTAAATGAGAAATATTGTGAAAGTAAAACGCTCTCCTGTTTTCTCCTGTACTGTGGATTGTGCATTGTTTTACATTCAACATTGAACCTTCACAATGCAATAAAATCGAAACCTTTTCTGTACCTTTCCTATTCAGCACCTGTTATGTTTTCATTTCATTTCTGTTTTATGGACTTTTGGTTTTCTCAGTTTGTTTAAATTCACTTGGGATTCTTCTTTTCTTTTTTTACATTCATTTTACACATCAAAAGTGATCTTGTTTCATGAATAAAGTGTCTTTTTTTTTTTACTCAGAAAGAAGGGAAGTAAAATGCTTCTTTTTTTTTACAAACTCACATTCTTTACAACCCAAGGTCTATATTTACCTCCATGTTAATAATCTATAAGACTCAACAGAGAATAAACTGTACTTTTTAAAGCACTGCATATAGTTTTGCTCAGACTTTTGCAATCATGAACATTGCATTTTTATTATTTAATATTGTCCAGAAGCTATTTTTAAAACACACAAATTATACTGTTAACACTACCATTCAAAAGTGTGTTTGTTTGATTTTTTCCTTTTTACAGTGTAATTATACAATTTATAAATTGTAGCCTTTACCGGTGTTACCGACTTAAAAAAAAAAAAATTTTACTTTTATTCAGAAAGGAATAAATTTCATTTTATTATTTTAAATTTGTATAAGATTCTTTTTTTAAATAAGCATCATGCAGAGCAGAACTGTACACATTCATATAGTAAATTATACTTTTTATTTATTAATTTAACTCGCATGAACCTCATATACTCAGTAGCAGGGCAACAGTCTTCATTGCAGAAACAGACTAAGTGGCTGATTACAGCAACAGCTTCAATGTCAAAGCAGCGTCAGCATCTAAACGGCTATTTAAAGATGTGAGAGTGAAAGTCATTGATTCCCCATAGTAAGGTGTGACTTCAACATACAAAGCTGAAAGAAACATTGGGGGAATGAAAATCAGAATCAGAGGGTGAATAACATGATGTAAGCACCTAACCCTGCATGGTTTTAACATAAACTGGTCTTGACATAAACTGTAAATGTGTCCCTCAAATCTGATTGTTTGATTGCAATGTTGATCCAGGAACATGTTGTACATGGTGAAATCACTTTCAGCATGTTCTTATACCAAGGAGTGAGTAGAAAGAAACAATTAATTTTCCTCTAGAGATTCCCACAGTTCCACGGTCTGCGAGACAGTTTATCGCAGCTACATGTTCAATGTCAACATCAGCACTTCTGTTGCCATTTTAAGCAGCGGGAGACAAAGTTATTGATTCACGAATGCATTTTTTGCTCAATGTTAAACATGCAAAGCAATGCAACAAGAAACAAGCCAGCAGCAGTGGATCGAAGCAGAAGGTTTACAGGCTCATCCGCCTAAATTGTGCTCTGTATTCCGTATGGCTTTCGGGCAGATGTTCGGGCTGATCTGTGTTAGGTTTATCATGAATAAACTTATTAATTGAATGTGTGAAGCAGCTTTGTTAATAGGGGGTAAGTCATCAAAGAGTCAATTTGAAAACTGTGAAATGGAAATCATAATACTACATTTACATTAACTGATGTGCACCCTGGTGTAAATAGTAACATACTGCTAATATTGCCCAGTTTCACAGACAAGGCTTCATTCTAGTCCCCGACTAAAATGCATGTTTGAGCTGTTTTATCTGAAAGCAACTTGCAGTGACATATCCTAAAATATATCAGTGCCATTATTTTGTCTCAAGACAACAGAAATATTTTTTCTAAGGCACATTTATAAAAGCTACTTAAACGTCCTAATTTAACTAAAGCCTAATCCTGGCTTAATCAAGAAACCAGGCCTATACACTACTAATCCTCCAGATTATCATTTTAATCAGCTGAAAATATTATTAATAATAATATGTCAGATATAGAGAACATAATTTGTTAGGTCAGAAGGGAACAATATTTAATAGTCAATCCTAAAATGATTTATGCAGTTAACCACTGATTATTGAAAATGGAAAATTTGTAGAAATATCAGCATTACATTTTTGTTCTAATAAACACCTTGTAGGGTCATGACCTTGAGCACAAGGCTAGTAATGGCTAAATTAGGTGTAAAAACAAAAACATGAATTAGTTTTTTTAACAGGCAGTTATAATAATTGTTATTATGTATAAATTATTATTAACAACAAAATTTAACCCTCTGGTCATTTTTGACTGGACATATATATATATATATATTTTTTTTTTTTACTTCATCAGAATGGTATCGAAACCTGATAACGCTTTTGGAACTTACTATGTGAACACACACACACACACACACACACACACACACACACACACACACACACACACAAAATCATGGACATGATTCATAAAGGTTAAATGGTCCAAACACAATCTTACTGAAAGCTCATTTTTTGAGATATCAAGCTCAAATAGGGAACACAACTTGTTTTGGCGTATGGCTTTGATTTTCCTGCAGTTAAAATGTGTTTTTTGAAAATATATATTTCATATAAAATTGAAAATAGTATTTTTGTGCATTTTTCATTACAATAAATGTAAAATGATGTATTTTTACATTACTTCAGCAATAATTTGCCAAGTGTCGTCTTTGAAAAGAAATCAGTCTGCGCATTCAAGATTTACGACAGTTTAAGGTGGACATTTAATTTTCAGGTCTATGCTCAAAAAGTGAATAAATGGATTGTAACTACAGCATAAATACAATTTAGTGCCATAAAATCCCCTAAAAATACAAAATATTAAATAAAAAAACATTATTGAACAAAATAATGCTTTTGACCGCCATGCGAAGACCAGGGTTAAAACACTTAAATGTTACCATGTGGGGGGCACTACCAAGCTTTGTTTACATATTGGTTGGCTGTTGACTATGACGACAATAAAATTTGTGTTTTTAAAATGTACTTCAACATACCAATAAACAACATGCACATCTACAACATAAAGATGGTCTTGATTGGAAAACACTGAGGTGTAATTTTATTAGACGTTCTGCTTTTATGAATGAGGCAGGATTTCATAATATTGCCCCGACTCATAACTACTAACATCTGCTCCCCTTGGATCTCAGATCTACTAGTGGACCGGCAAGCAGACAATACAGCTCCACAGAGGATGCCTACGCTGCTTCCTGTTCCATGATCCACATTAGAAAAACACACATTGGGTTCTTTGTCTCTCCCAGCACCCCTCATCAACCCCTCTCTCTCTGCAAGGAAGAAGGGGGGTGGGGGGGGGGACCAGTTGCTAGGCAGGCAGCATAACGGTTGCCTAGGGAACTGTAGCAGACGCAGCTGTGAGTGAATGGGGGAGAATGCAGAGGGGGAGGGAAAGGCAAGTTCAAGGCCAAAACCCCCAATCTGCGTCTAGTGTCCGTCAGCACCGCAACAGATGAAGGGGGAGCGCATGCATGGGCCTAAAACTGGCATGTCTCCTGCCACGACCCTCTTGATCTTAGCACTTCACTAGGATGTTCTACGTGGTGAAAGACAGAGCAAGAGGTCACATCTTATAAAGATTGTTGCAGCTGCATGGCTTTAAAATATTGGTGCTACTGGTAAAAATACACATATATATATTTGAGTTGATTTGTATCACTACGTTCTTAAGGTTCACATACAAATTTGTGGGGAAAATAATTTTATTACCATACTTGAATTTGAATGTAAATTGAACAAACTTTCCCTCAAAAGGACCTGAGTCAAGTTCATTTACCCTGATGTGTTTGATGCGATTGCTTAAAGGGATAGTTCACCCAAAATGTTTAATTCTATACTCACACTCAAGTTGTTCCACACCTTTATGAACTTCTTTTTTTCCTTTGAACACAAAAGAAGATATTTTGAAGAATGTCGATAACCAAACAGTTGATGGACCCCATTGACTTTTATAGATTTTTTTTCTCCATACGGAAGTCAATGGTGTCCATTACCTGTTTGGATACCGACATTCTTCGAAATGCAAAATAGCATTTTTTTTTTTGTATTCAGCGGAAGAAAGAAATGCATACAGGTTTGGAACACCTTGAGGCTGAATAAAATGATGATGGAATTTTAATTTTTGGGTGTACGATCCCTTTAAGCAGGTATCCAAGGATTCAAACTGAGGAAACGGTTGGAATACCCACTTAGACGTTAAAAATTTGTTTATGTATAATTAGTATCTTCTGAGAACTGTTGGCTACTGTTGCCTGCATCATTGTTCAGGTCAAGGAACTTAGAGTAAAACAGGAACAGACCTACTCATTCATGTCAAAAATTACACAGACACGGCGCACACATAACCAAATGTCTGTAAATGCATACAAGAACAGAATGTTAAGAATGTAACTTGAACTTGCCTTCCTGTTCTAAGACTGTCTCTGTGGCCTGTTTTGAAAGATGAATGCTATACCTTCTTAAACAAGCTGTCCTGTATTTGAAAATCAAATACAGAACTAAAACTAAATAAAACTCAATTTCATTAGCAGGATAAAAATGTGTTTATTTTAGGCTCATTACTATTTATAATTTGGTGCATTTAATCTAAGGTGTATTTAACTATTTTTCAAAATTTAGGTTACAATTTATTTCGATAGTCCACTTTAGACATTCTACTAACTTTAAGTAACTTTGCGACTACATGTCAACTAACTGTCATTAGAGTATTAAGTACACTGTCTGCTTAATATCTGCTAATATTAATATCACTTTATTTTGATGCTCCCCAACAAACACTCTACTGACTAACGTTGCAACTATGTCAACGTATTCTAACCTGAACCCTAATCTAGCAGTCTACAACAGTGTACGAATACTCTAATGAGAGTTAGTTGACATAGGTGCAAAGTTACTTATGAATGTCTAAAGTGGACCATCAAAATAAATGCAATTACATTTTTAACTGCTAATTTGCAACCCAGTGAAAATAGTAACATATATAATATACATTTACAATAATAATATACATCTTCTAGATTATCATTTTAATTTGCTGATATTTCATTATCAGATTAATAATAATATGTCTGATTT